TGGGCTGACATCACTAGCCCTTCGGCTATTCCTCCCCCTACCAAGCCTTAAGTCATGGGATGGCGGCGTCAGCGGGACGTGAGGGTGAATCAGCCCGTTAACGTAGAACGGCATGTAGCCTGTAGACGAATGCACTGCATTGTTCAGTGCAAAGCATAGGAGTGGCAGCATGGCGCTCCAGCGCCTCGGTGTCTTAGCGCAGACGCTGCGAAGAACGTCTTCGATGACGCGATTCACCCTTTCCGTTTGACTATTGTCTGCGGATGATCCGCTGTCGACATATCCAACTTGGTGCCGAGCACATTGAAGATAGTCGACCAAAACTCTCCCGTGAAACGGGGTCTCTGTCAGAGACAATCGACTGTGGGAGTCCGTGTTGACGGAAAATACGATCCACGAACAGCGTTGCTGTACCGACTCCATCAATGGTGTCTAGCACCGCCGCCAAATAAGCCATCTTGCTTAACCGGTCGACGAATACCACGACACCCGTGTTGCCCGCCGATTCTTTCGGCAGGCCAAACACAAAGTCCAAACTCATGGACGACGAGCACCCAGTGGGTACGGTTAAGCTGGCCAACGGCGCAGCCGCATCTGGAGAGGGTTTCACCTGTTGACACGTCTCACACGTGCGCACAGAGGTGCTCGTCCATTTGTACAACTTGGGCCACCAATAATGGTGACTCACAGAGTTGTACGTTCTCTCACGACAGAGATGACCACTGAGTGGCGTGTCGAACGCCTCATAGAGGATGCGGTATTTCAAATACTCACCATGAGGAACTACAACTCGTGGTGTATCCGTTGATTCGGTGTTATAATATAGAACCCATTATTTAACGAATATCGGTGCGATCGTGCACGCAGTCTTGATGACAATTTCATGTCCGAGTTTCCAAACTCCTTGCTCCCGAGAGCCCGAAGCAACGCTACACACATCCCATCACCCGCATACGCGGTGCGGACCAAATCCGACACAGACGACAATTCAGTTGTGACATGAGCTAGCTCATAGTCTGGTCTGCGTGACAACGCATCAGCCAAAGCATTATGCTTTCCCGGCT